AGGTGGTTCCACGCTTCTCAAAATCTCCTGATCAAAGGTTTTGATATGGATGTAGTTTATCATCTTACCCAGGACGCGGATGTAGCTTACCGTCTTACCCAGGACGCGGATGTAGTTTACCGTCTTACCCAGGACGCGGATGTAGTTTACCGTCTTACCCAGGACGCGGATGTAGTTTATCGTCTTACCCAGGACGCGGATGTAGTTTACCGTCTTACCCAGGACGCGGATGTAGTTTAACGTCTTACCCAGGATGTGAATAAATTGGATTTTTGTTTTGTTATGGAAAAGGATTTCGTACAGTCGTATTTGGTTTATAAAGACTGCATTAATTCCTGACTACTGAGCTTTTTTTCATTCGTTTTCATTGTTAATAAAATCATGTCCAGTGCTTTTGTAAAGCCAAACGTCCAGCGCTTTCCTATAATAAAATCATTCGCACTATATTTTCATATTAAAATTATCCTATTATAGTTGCGCTTGTTCCGCGCTTCGTTAGTTCGCACGACCGTTACGTCCTGCCAATACCTCATAAATAAGGGATTATTCCGTTTTGATCGCGTGGAAAGAGGGGGAAAGACACTCTTTATTTTCAGTGAGAAAATGAATAAAAGAAAGAAAGGAGGATAAAAGTCTTTAACATCTGTTTCAGTGAAATGGATAAAGTTGTCAATTTCAAATCTTTTCATTTGTACCCCCTTACTTCTTAATATAACCACCAGCTTTCATATTGATGATTGTTATTGCAATATTTTGTTGTTAAGCTCAAATATTTAACGATGCGATAGGGAAATTTCTACAGATATTTTATTGTCGTATAATTCAGCATGAGTTTATACAATCATTAACTAAAGCATTAAGATTCATTAGAAATCTCAAAAAAGGCGAACCGTGAAATTTTTCACGGATCTTTCTAATAATAATAATAAGAAGAAGAAGAAGAAGAAGAAGAAGAAATCGAAATCTCAAAAATGTGGGACATGGGAATATCAAAAATCCCTGTAGTAGATGGAGCCCTCGGATTGGACGAAAAAGATTCCAGAAGACTCATTTAAGGGATTCCTGGAAGCCCATGCCTCAAAGAAATACAAAAAGCTGTTCTCACAAGTATATCCCACACTTTACGAAGGGCTTTATCTATGTAAAATATTTTTTGTATTTTGTCAGTGGAAAGTGTCATGATGCCATTTCTAAGCTTAGGTTCCTAGGCGAAACCCGCAAAGAAATGAGCACACATCAGAAATCAAAGGATATAAAATAATAATTGTTAAGAGGTCCACCCCTTTTGATACAAGTGGACTCGCCCAGTGTGTACTTGTACTGCTGCCGGTGAATACCCGAGAGTGAGGGAATGAGAGTGTGAGGTAACCCTTTTGTAGGAGTCACAGTTGCGAGCACGTAGACTCAGAAGGAAGTCCTACTTCGATACTGAATTTCCCACACTGTATATATATTATTATTGCTACTAACCGCATTTCTGGATCTACTAACCATATTACCAATTGTATTATTACGTCAATACATTTACTGCTATATTTCATTCCTGCGTTTGTCATTCATTCGAGACCGGATTTCATCCCGGAACCACAACAATAATAATAATAATAATCGTTTTGTCGGCTTCAATTTGTACAGAAAATATGCGTAAAACAAAAAACATATCAGAGACGCTGCTTGGTTTCAGAGAAAGAAAGAAAGTTAGAAGTGTTTAATGTCTGTTTCAGTAAAATGGAAAAGTTGACAATTTAAAATCTTTTCATTTGTACCCCCTTACTTCTTAAAATAACGACCAGCATTCATATTGATGATTGTTATTGCAATATTTTGTGAAAGTTGTTAAGCTCAAATATTTAATGATTCGATAAGGGAATTTCGACGGATATTTTATTGCCGTATCATTCGCCATGAGTTTATACAATCATTAACTAAAACGTTAAGAGTCATCTCAAAAAGGCGAACCGTAAAATTTACACGGGTCTTTCTAATAATAATAATAATAATAATAATGGCTGTTTCAGTGAAATTTCAAAATATGTCAAAGTGGCATATGGGAACATCAACAATCCCTGTTGTAGTTGGAGCCCTTGGACTGGTTGGAAAAGATTGCAGTAGACTAATTGAAGGGATTCCTGGAAGTCCATGCCTCAAAGAGATACAAAAATTGTTCTGACAAGTACAGCTCACACTTTACGAAGGGCTTTATCTTTTTTTTTTGTCATGTAATTTTTTTGTCAGGTGGAAAGAAATGTAAACACCAGAAATAAAAGGAAATAATAATAATAATAATAATAATAATAATAATAATAATAAAACATAACTGGAAACAACAACCTTAGTGAAACCATGAAAACAGAAAGAAAAATATTCAATAATAAAAGGGAAATACCAACATTTACATTTAGTAAATTCTGAAATCAAAACAGTAAACACAACTATTGAAAAAAGAAAAAGGAACAGATGAAACAACGCTAAGACAAACCTCTGCATGGCCAATATCCAGAACGTGCAAATAAACCCAATGTTGATAAAGTTAATACTCATCGATGGTTACGAATCTGGATTAAAATCTGAAACTGAAGGCTTTTATTCTTGCAGCGCAAGACCAGAGTAATATCATAATAATAATGTGGATCCAAAATGCAGGTTCTGTGACAAATACCAAGAAACAATAGACCATCTAATCTCAGGATGTTCTATACTTGGCCCTAAATGAATATAAAAATCGTCACGATTTGGACAATGTGCAAACACTTTGGAAAATGTGTAAGCAAACACTTTGAACATCGGCCAGCGCCGGTTACAGAAATAGAAGATGTCACCATTCTAGAAAATTGAAGCAAATAGGCGGACATTATTGTCAAAAACCAAAAAAAAAACATAATTGATATGGCAGTCCAGCGGGCATAGCAACCAAGGAATTTGAAAAACTATCAAAATACAAAAGACCTGGAAATTGAAATAGAAAAAATGTGGAAATTTAATACCAGTGGTAATAGGTGCACTTGAATTATAAAAAAAAGGAACAAAACAACACATTGAAAGAATCCTGAAACCCCAGAAAGACATACAGAAAATTGTCTTAGAAAAAGCACACACACTAAGGAGAACTTTGTCTATGTAACGCTAGTTTCATCGGAGATAAAAAAAAAAAAAAAAAAAAAAAAATTAACATGAAATGTGGCCATAACACAAAAAAGGTCTTTCCGCAGACTTAGTAGGTAATAGTTTTAATAAAATAATAATAATTAATAATTCGTTTTGTCGGCTTCAATTTGTACAGAAAATATAAAAACAAAAAACATATCAGAAATGGAAGTTAAAAGTGTTTAATGTCTGTTTCAGTAAAATAGAAAAAGCTTATTTAATCTTTAAATTAAGAATTAAAATTCATCAGAAAATTAAAATAGAAAAACCCTGAAATTTTCACGGTTGAAAATAGCAAATATAATTATCGTATTCTGTAAAGAACATTTACCTTACTTCTTCACCATTGATGATACTTTTTTTTCTTGTTTGCATTGCTTTAGTTATTTTCTACATTAATAAACTTAATTATGGCACTAATTTTAATAATTTCACCCAAAGCAAGGTGACAAAGCCACTAAGACGCAAAGGATTGCCGAATGTGAGAGAACATGAAACAAAAAAAATCATTATTGAGGAGAGAGAACAGTAAAAAAACAGCAATTAAGATAATAGTTGACATTGCATTTAAATTTTTGAAGATCAAATTTGGCTAAAAAGGCAAGAAGCCAAAAGGATGTTCTACAAATGAGAAGTGTAAAAGAAGAAACTGTTAACCTAGAACTTGCGGTTATATTTAGTAATTTCAACTGTAAAATTAAAATAAACGCAACTGTCCATGCATGTCATAAGTTTATAAGAAGTAATCTCTTGTTTTAAAAGTGCTGAATGATATATATATAATTCCTTAGACTGGCACAAGGCTAGAATAGTAGGTTACTAAAGTTCTTTGTGAATGAATGGGCCGTAAAACTATGCCATGAAATATTGCACTATAGTAGGTGCCCTGTAATTTGTATTCATTTTAATCTTTTCACCCCCAAACAAGGCAATAAAGCCACTAAGATGTAAAGGGTTACGGAATGTGAAAGAATATGAGACAAAGAAAACATTATTAAGGAGGGAGAACAATAAAAGAACAAGAATTAAGAAGATAGTAGATAACGATTGACATTGCATTTACATTTTTGAAGATTGGAGTTGACTGGGAAGCGAGAAGCCAGAAGAGAGCCCCACAAGTGAGAAGTGTGAGAGAAGAAACTATTAGCATAGAACTTACGGTTACATCTAGACATTTCAACTGTAAAATGGCGAAACCTTGCCGCCAATCTAGTACTGTACATATATTTATAAAGTCAAGGTAACAAAAAGGAAAGTTAATCAGAACAATTACTAGGAAAATATTTATAAAACAGGAACAGAGAACATAGGATACGGCAGTCGGAAAAAGACTGAAGCCGAGATACCAGGTTAAAACCAATAAAATTACAGATTCTTCATTGTTTTTAACTAAAATTTAACTAGACAAGTGTTGTTACCAAGTAAATGGTTCAGTAATAATAAAAGAATAGGTTTGCAGATATATCGTATATTAAACAGTAAGTACACCAGAAAAGTATTACACAACTAGTGAGAGTGTATTAAATGAACCAGCGCTCAATCTATTCACTGTTCCCCCACGAGGGTTAACAGCCCCACGACGAGGGATGCATATGGCACAAGGCCGAGTTTACCGTGGGTTCTTCGAGCCCGTAGGCTCGGCCAAAAATATTCCCTTGGAACCAGCATAAACGGGTTCAGGGTTTGTCTACCTCCCCGGACGAAACTTTGCCCTTTGACAAAGCCTCGTCCAGGGTTCATCTCTGCTCAAAGCAGAGAGTTCGACAGTGAAGAACAGTCTGGCCGACTTGTTAATATTTAACAGTCGAGGCGAGGGATGTATGTGGCACAAGGCCGAGTTTACCGTGGTTAAGAGGTTAAGAAAGTAGACAAATGAAAGAGAGAAGCAAATACAAGGAATAAAGGAAGGAAGGAAGGAAGGAAGGAAGGAAGGAAGGAAGGAAGGAAGACGAGGAACTAAAAGAAATAAAGAAAAAAAAGAAAAGAAAGATATACAATAAGGACGCAAGGAGAGTTAGGAAGAAGGAAGGAAGGAAGGAAGGAAGGAAGGAAGGAAGGAAGGAAGGAAGGAGGGAGCTAAGAGGATTAAAAGAAAAGAAAGAAAGAAAAAGAAAGAAAGAAAAAAAGAAAAGAAAGAAAGAAAGAAAGAAAGAAAGAAATATATACAATAAGGACGCAAGGAGAGTTAGGAGAAGGAAGAAGGAAGGAAGGAAGGAAGGAAGGAAGGAAGGAGTGGAGCTAAGAGGATTAAAAGAAAGAAAGAAAGAAAGAAAGAAAGAAAGATATACAATAAGGACGCAAGGAGAGTTAGGAGAAGGAAGGAAGGAAGGAAGGAAGGAAGGAAGGAAGGAAGGAAGGAAGGAGTGGAGCTAAGAGGATTAAAAGAAAGAAAGAAAGAAAGAAAGATATACAATAAGGACGCAAGGAGAGTTAGGAGAAGGAAGGAAGGAAGGAAGGAAGGAAGGAAGGAAGGAAGGAAAAAGAGAAAGAGTGATAAAGAAACAAACAAAATGAAACGGCAAAATAAAAGAAGAAAGGAAGGAAGGTAGGACAGAAAGAAAGAGAGAAAGAGAGAGAAGGAGAGATAAAGAAACAAACAAACAAAGGAAAAAAAAGAGAGAAACAAAAAAGAAAAAAGAAAAGCCCGAGAAAAGCAAACAGAGAAACAAAAGTAAAAGACAGCAAAAGAGGATGAGAAAAAAACAAACAAAAAGAAAAATAGAAAGAAAGAGGGAGGAAGAAACGAACAAAGAAAGGAAGAAAGCAAGAAAGAAAAAAGAAAGAAAGAGACAGATAAACAGAAACAAAGTGGAACAGAAAAAGAAAGAAAGATAAACAATCGAACAAAGAAAATGAAAAAGGAAAAGAAAGAAAGAAAGAAAGAAAGAAAGAAAGAAAGAAAGAAAGAAAGAAAGAAACTAAAGGAAAAAGTAAAAAGCAAGAACTTTGGAAAGAGAGAGGAAATCTTGTAAAATAAAGACATAAGAAGTTAGTGAAGAAAGGAAGAAAAATGTAGACGGAGAGAAGAAAAAGAAAAAGGAGTTACTGAAAGATTCGAGAAAGAAAGAATGAAAGAAAGAAAGAAAGAAAGAAAGATTGAATGTCTGTATGAACAAATAAAGAAGACAAAAAGCAAGAGAAAGTAAAAAAAAGAAAAGAGAAACAAGTAAAAGAGTTGAAAGGAAAAGAAGAAAATGAAAAGCATCACCGATCACGAAATTATACCGGCAGACGACTCACACTTCAAAACCATTTAAATAAATAAGAAGAGTTTATTTTTGCTTCATATCAGTTCAACATAATCCACATTCTTGTCTCTATCAACGGTTACAGAAAAGATCATTGTCGTCCAATGCCCCAGTAATCTACCTGGAAAAGGACAGAAAGAATGCCCAAGGTTCACAAAGACAACATGCTGTAAAAACAGCGATAAAATGGCCGCGATCTTTAATGATGATCATGTGACCTGATGCTAAATCACTGTCGGCGGGAAACAAGCGGACGCCATATTCCTCGCCTGCTAGTCCCCATCCACCCAGAACATCGCCCGCCAATGCTATCTTTACAATTGGTGACAGATTTGGTATCATCGTCCTAATTGATACTTAGAAGACATTGATTGATTGCTTCGATGAAACTTTCATGAAAGCTATGACTGTTTCTTTTCTTTTCAGCTTCCGTAATACGCCCGCACGCACGCACACAAACACACACAAATTTAGATAGATAGATAGATAGATAGATAGATAGATAGATAGATAGATAGATAGATAGATATCAACGGAATGGGATAGAGAGATAGATATCCAGAGAATGAGATAAAGAAAGATAGAGATAGATAGATATAAGCCGAATGTTTCCGTATATATATATATATATATATATATATATATATATATATATATATAGATAGATAGATAGATAGATAGATAGAGAGAGAGAGAGAGAGAGAGAGAGAGAGAGATTTCAAACAATTTTGGTTAAATAATTTATACATATGTCGATTAGTTTTCGTTCGTTTAGGTGATTGTATCTCCAATAAAAATGTCAATACGTACGTTAGCTTTACTACGACGATGCTAACAAAAAGACTCACATTACATTTGGCTGAACATAGCTCAATATATTAGCACTTAATGAACACTCATGCCCACACTCACATATTAAATGGATATTAGTTGAAAATACATCTATATTACATAAAAACAATAACATGCAAAAGTTAAAAATCCTTGATATAAGAGAGTTAAATCCCAAAATAAATAAAGCCAACTATGATTATAGCAATACAAACATTAAATTCTTATGAGAAAAACATTATATACGTATGAGCAAAAACTAAATCTTACTTCCCTTCCACTGAAAACAAAAACAAAAACAAAAGAACACGTGAACTTTCAACTTTGAAATCTGGAACGCTACATAAGCAGTAAAAAGGAACAGTTGAAAGGTTTTGAATTTACAGAAACACATATACATACTCAACATTTAACCCCCTGATGATGGTCCCAGATGAGATTGAAACTACTTGGGAAAATAAAAACTATTCGAAAGAAGATTTTGGTATTTTTCTTAATCAATTTTCTAAATCTACCAAAAAATGAATCCGCGAACTTGAAATGATCACAACGAAAACTAATCGACAGAATATGTCAAAATAATTTAACCAAATCTGTTTGAATGAAAATATGCTGCCTAAATATATACAATATAAGCAGAATGATATATATATTTATATTTATATATATATATATATATATGTATGTGTGTGTGTGTGTGTGTGTGTGCGCGTGTATATATATATATATATACATATATATATATATATTTATATATATATATATATATATATAGAGAGAGAGAGAGAGAGAAAGAGAGATCAGCAGAATGACATAAATACATATATATATGTATTATATACATAGATAGATAGATATCTGAAGAATTAGATAGATAGATAGATAGATAGATAGATAGATAGATAGATAGATAGATAGATAGATCCTTGTGCAAATTAATTGAAACAACCGCTTTAGTTTCCTTTCTTTCACTATACGGTCAGTTTTAGGCCCACTGGAGTGACAGGGTGTAATCGATTTCTATTTCTTTCTCAGATTGGTCATTTGAAATGGTGGGCAGTAATACAAATCTCGGGGTGTAAGATGAAATTAGTTTGGCCTTGAAAAATATTACGTCATCCGTGATTGCATCAGATTTTTATCACACACAGACACTATTGTCTTCACTGTCGATTAGTTGTCCTACGAACATTGTCTGCGATGGGCATTACTCAAAGGAAGCGTACGAAAATTGTAATGCTGCAAGAACGCACTGGCAAGCCTTACCATTGAGCAAAACAAAGTAGTATAGATTGGCCCGGAAACTCTCCTGATTTCAATGCAATCAAGAATCTGTGGTCAATCTGCAAGGAACGACTTCGTGGAATGGACATACGAAGTACTAACACATGCACTGGGTCATGTTTCATTGGAAAAATACGAAAAAAATAATAACGGAATTATTCGTTTTGTTTCAATTAATTTGCACAAGGGTGTAGATAGATAGATAGATAGATAGATAGATAGATAGATAGATAGATAATGAACTGAATGACAAAGATAGATATCAACAGAATGAGATAGTTAACAAGAGAATGATTCAGATAGATAGATAGATAGATATATAGATAGATAGATAGATATAAACTGACTGTGACTGTTCAAAAGGCTGGGGAGGAGTGTGAACCGGATATTTTACATTTTAAACGTTTACCTTAAAATATATAATAAACTTATAAATGTATTATTACGTACACCTACTTCAAATTTCAAAATGCCAAATGTTATCAAATGTTTTGGGGATAGACCCCCCCCCATAATCATATATATTGTGAAACTACATTACCCAGGGTACTTGGATAAGTTTATTTCATTTTGATTGAAGAGAAATACTGGGGGAAGTTTGGGGGGGGCGTCATCCCCACCGAATTTTTCTTTTTCCTTTGATGCAAATTAAATTTAAATTTCAACAAGGGAACGGCTCCTAGGGTACTTGGATATGTATATTTCATTTTGATCAAAGTGGTTTCCCGGGGTTGAGCGACACAAATCCACTACCACTACCAGTGAATTGTTTTCTATTTGATTTGAATTAAAATTTGAACAAGGGAATGACCCCTATCCAAAATATAGGAGAAAGTCAGAAGATGGAGGTCACATCGGCAAGATCATAATGAGACAATATAGACGTCAAGCTGATCATGGGATCAACAATCAGTGGATAGTGCCTTACAATACATATTTGTTGCAACAATTCAACTGTCATATTAATGTTGTAATCTGCTCATCAATTCATTCAATCCAGAAATGCATCAAATACATATCAAAGGGGTCAGATCAAGCTGTTTTTGCACACACACCTCCACTGAATTTTTTTCCCTTTGATTTAATTAAATTTAAATTTGAACAAGGGAATGACTCCTATTCAAAATATAGAAGGCGAAAGCAAGAAGATGGAGGTCACATCGACAAGATCATTGAGTAATATTGAAACGCATTATTTTTCTGAATAAATTATAACAATGGTTCAAAATGAATCATCATTTTCTTACAAAAAGTGTGTGATACGCAGCAAGGTGCGGGTAAGTCGGCTAGTTATATTATGCGACAAATCGTGAATTCGACACATCAAGCAAATATACCTACGCTATGTTGTTTGTATGTAATATATTGACAATTCTTTTTTTAGTTTTACCTTCTTATGCAAGCTTATAAGCAGACGACCCATGTATCATAATATTTCTGCTTGGCTGGTAAAACCTGAAATATTAATTTACTTCAGCTGAACGACCATACGACCTCTACGAACAACGGTTTCGCTTTTCATGCAAGAAGGTACTTACTTTTGCTTGCAAATGTCTAAAGAATGGGGCTTTATTGGTTCTTTTAAATCTGCCTAAGAAAGAATTTCAAATATATATTGTAAATATAGTGTAAGTCTTTCGGGTCTTGATCTGATAGTTTGTTTTATTTCACACACATAGATAGATAGATAGATAGATAGATAGATAGATAGATAGATAGATATATAGATTTAATTTTATATATATTTCTATAAGAGAAAAGTTTTATACTTGAGGTCAGGTTATGCCTCAATATATTTATGCAATGCGTTGATAAAGAAATAAATATTTTGTGATTAAAACACCAAAAAAAATATAAATCATTGAATTTATAGCCACTTTTCGTTTTTACTGACGTGTGTATATATATATATATATATATATATATATATATATATATATATATATATATATATGCATATATGCACATAGGCACATATTAAAAAAAAAATATATATGTATATATTAAAATGCGTCTTAAAGAGAAAAAATTACTATCATAAAAATAAATCTACTTAAAGAGACGAACGTAAAAATCCCCGAAGATGAAGAAGACAAGGACGAGCAGAAGAAAAAGAAGAAGCGAAGTAGAAGAAAAGAAGAAAAGGATAAAAGAAAAAGACGAAGTGTAGAAGAAGAAGAAGAAGAGGAAGAGGAGAAGTAGAAGAAAACGAAGACGGGGAGAAAATGAAGAAGCGAAGAAGAGGAGTAAGGAGATGAAGAAGAGGACGAGAAGAAAAAGAAAAAGCGAAGAAGAAGAAAAGAACAAGGAATAAAAGACTAGGGTTGGCGAAGCAGAGGAAGAAGAGGAGGACGAGGAGAAAATGAAGAAGAAGCGAAGAAGAGGAGGAGGAGACGAAGAAGAAAAAGAAAAGCGAAGAAGAAGAAGAAAAAGAAGAAGAAGAAGAAGAAGAAGGAAAAAAGAAGAGAACGAGGAATAGAAGAATAGGGTTGGCGAAGCAGAAGAAGAAGCGGACGAGGAAAAAATGAAGAAGAAGCGAAGACGAGACGAAGAAGAAGAAGAAGAAGAAGAAGAAGAAGAACAGAAGAAGAAGAGTATAAAAGAAAAAGAAGCCAAACAGAAGAGTAGAAGAAGAAGAGTAGGAGGAGAAGTAGTAGAAGAGGAGGAGGACGGGGAGAATATGAAGAAGAAGCGAAGAAGAGGGGGAGACGAAAAAGAGGACGAGAAGAAAAAGAAAAAGCGAAGAAGCCGAAGAGAAGAAGGAGGCGGAGGAGAAATAGAAGAGGACGAGGAGAAAATTAAGAAGAGGTAATGAATATTACGAGGATAAGGAGGATAGATAACTATTGAAACTTTACTGATAGTGTCATATAGAAAAAGAGAGGTATCACGTTTCAAGTATTCAGATGTTTCTTCGTACAATATGATTAAGATATAAATGTATTTACAAGAAACAAATGGTAGTCTTTCTCACAGAGAACAATTCATTACAACCTTCTCGTCATTATAACATTTGGCTTCTGAAAAAATAAATCGCATTTTACAGTGTACCTCATTACCTTGACCTTGAGCCAGACTAAGATAAGCTGAAGACTTGTTTCATAGTTATGATGTGTATTTCGACCAGTGCCAATGATAAGTGTTCAAATCCAACAAATAAAATTTCGAATGCTGATTTTCTAGGGAGGTATGCTTTCTACAATTAGCGGACTGACAGAACGTTATATTTCTTTCATTTGGCCTTGTGCCAGACGAAACATTTTTACTTTTTTACTAAATTTTACCTAATAAAATGCTCGAGTCACTCATTACGGTGTTTACTGAATGAGGTGCGTGGTATGGATATAAGAAACGGTAGAATGTGGATTATGAGGATAAGGATGATAGACAACGACAAATCCTTGAAGAGGTTTAGATTTTAATGTATAAAGAAGCATCCACGTGGAAGTCAGTTCCATAAAGTAGCCGTTCTCGGGGAGAAAAAGGATATGTGAATGAAACTTGCTTCTTACATTTGGAATACTGGGGAAATGAGGGTGATTCGACTCTGTGGAAGTAGTATTGCCTGTCCGAGCCGTAAAGGTCTGAATTGATGAAACCAAAGATGGAGTTCATCTGGACATTCACTATGGAAATAGCGAGAGAGGAACGATAAGCTGAGTATATATCAATAAGCTTATGCATTGCTTCGTTGTCGGAGAAGTTTACAATCAGCATTTCTGATCTGTGTTCGATCCGCGGCAAAAATGCCAGGATTTAGAAAACTGATTTGCGAGATAGATGAGAGCAGGGGGAATTAGAGTAAACCCGTTTCCTTACATAAATTTTCTCCCTACCATTTAGTCTCTCCATACGTCTCCCTATATACTCACTACCATTAGGTCTCTCCATAAGTCTCCTTATATACTCACTACCATTTGGTCTCTCCATAAGTCTCCTTATATACTCACTACCATTTGGTCTATCTATAGGTTTTCCTACATACTCCCTACCATTTGGTCTCTCCATATGTCACCCTATATACTCACTACCATTTGGTCTCTCCATAAGTCTCCTTATATACTCACTACCATTTGGTCTATCTATAGGTCTTCCTACATACTCTCTACCATTTGTTCTCTCCATAGATCTTCCTACATACTCACTACCATTTGGTCTATCTGTAGGTCTTCCTACATACATTCTACCATTTGGCCTCGCCGTAGGTCTCCCTACATACTCACTACCATTTGGTCTCTCCATAGGTCACCCTATATACTCACTATCATTTGGTCTCTCCATAAGTCTCCTTATATACTCACTACCATTTGGTCTATCTATAGGTTTTCCTACATACTCTCTACCATTTGGTCTCTCCATAGATCTTCCTACATACTTTCTACCATTTGGTCTCTCCATACGTCTCCCTATATACTTACTACCATTTGGTCTATCTATAGGTCTTTCTACATATCCTCTACCATTTAGTCTCTCCATAGGTCTCCTTACATACTCTCTATCGTTTGGTCTCTCCATAGGTCTCCCTATATACTCTCTACCATTTGGTCTCTCCATAGGTCACCCTATATACACACTACCATTTGGTCTGTGCATGTCTCCTTATATACTCACTACCATTTGGTCTATCTATAGGTCTTCCTATATACTCTCTGCTATTTGGTCTCTCCATAGGTCTCCCTATTTACTCACTACCATTTGGTCTCTCCATAGGTCACCCTATATACACACTACCATTTGGTCTGTGCATAAGTCTCCTTATATACTCACTACCATTTGGTCTATCTATAGGTCTTCCTATATACTCTCTGCTATTTGGTCTCTCCATAGGTCTCCCTATTTACTCACTACCATTTGGTCTCTCCATAGATCTTCCTACATGCTCTCTACCATTTGGTCTCTCTGTAGGTCTCCCTACATACTCACTACCATTTGGTCTCTCCATATGTCTCCTTACATACTCTCTACCATTTAGTCTCTTCATAGGCCTTTCTTAATACTCTCTACCATTTGGTCTCTAGATACGTTTCAATACATGCGCTCAACCTTGGTCTCTCCATACGTCTCCCTGCATACTTTCTGCCATTTGGTCTCTCCATACGTCTTCCTACAATACTCTCCCACCATTTGGTCTCTTCATGAGTTTCCCCCACATACCACTACCATTTGGTATCTTCATACATCTTTCTATGTCATTTGGTCTTGGCGTGTATTGCGTTCACCTTAGACGAACAGATACCAAAGTGGGGAGATAGAAAAAAGAGAAAATTCAATGAAAACGAGACAAATTGTCATCGGATGAGATTTAGTTTACTGTCATAAAAATAGAGATTTATTAATCACAAAATTGTGGCCGAGTAGTTAGAGCACCTGCTATATATTTACAGGTCCAAAGAAGAATCAGCAACATTATTGGTCCTGACCTGGCGTATCGGCTTCAGTCACTTTCCCACCGCCATAGAGTTGTTTTCATGTCCCTTTTCTATAAATATTTTCATGGTAATTGTTCGGATGAGTTCTTTGCTATGGTACCTAGACTTTATTCATTTAAGCGCAGTACTAGTTTAGCAAAAAGCTCTCGTCAGATTACAGTTGAATTGGCTAGATGTAACCGTAAGTTCTTTGCTAATGGTTTCTTTTCTCGCACTTCCTGCCTGTAAAACTCTCTTCTGGCTTCTTGCTTTCCAACCAACTTTGTTCTTCAAAACTTGAAATGCAATGTCAATCGTTATCTACTGTCTTCCTGATTACTTTTCTATTGATCTCACTCCTTAGTAATGTTCCTGTTTTCTAATTCTTTCACTCCCAGTAACACCTTGTGTCTTACTGGCTTTACTACCTGCCGGTAAATCCGATTAAAAAAAATTCGACCACGAGACCCGAGTTCGAATCTCACCATGGTCAATTTGTCAGGGATGTGACCTTGTCTTGGCTAAAGACGATCCCAGAATGTTAGGACGCCAGAAAATGCCTAAAATGACATAGCAAGGGTTAAACCAAACGTTGTGAGTAAAATTGGTAGATAGAATTGTAGTTGGTCTATTGTTGGGTGAGCACGACGTCGCAAGTCATCGTGACCGATGGTTGAAATGTATTTGCCTTGTTCAAATTGATGATCACGCCAAAGTAGGCAGTATCTCCCAGGATGTGAGTTCGTTTAGTATAGTTGCACTATAAAGCACACTTTGGCTCTGGAGGTGTTGAACAAACACAAATGTGCTTGTGCAGACGTCTGCATTATGAATTAGCTAGCCACCCTAGTAGATGGCTATATTCGAATACAAGCGGACTGCGGTAAATACATTAGTCAAAAGCTACCTAGAGCATTATACTTCTACTACCTGGGTACACGGTGAGTGAACCCTAGATTTTTATTTTCGCGAATAATTCCAGGTCAGTCTATAATATCCAGATTAAGCTTCTTTTCATCTGACCGCACCATTCTTCGGTCTACTTCACGTATTCTTTTGACTTAAAATTCTTAAGTTGGCTGGGCTCTTTAACTCCCTCCATATACCTGGCCGTTGATCCCGTCGAGGGAATCCTCTGCCCTGGCTGTTGACTTCAGTCTAGGAATCCCTTCGATAAACGATGCAATAACACGACCCTACGGGTTGTATGCGCAGATATGGAACCTAGTTTACCACATTGTGCTAATCGCCTGTTGACCCTATGTTGAGGTTCATTTAACAGGTTTTGTTGTTTTAATCCTGCTACGTGTTTAGCCGCACTACTCATCGGAAAAGCCTGGTGAGAGGACAGGTTTCGTCGTTAATTACCATGCATATGTGGTGGGTAATATTGGGTCACATTGTACAAATAACATACATAATATGAACTGACATAGATTTTTTCGTATTTTTCCAATGAAACATAACCCAGTGCACACGTTAATACTTCGTATGTTAATTCCACAAAGTCGTTCCTTGCATATTGACCACAGATTCTCAATTAGATTTAAATCAGGGCCCGTCAATAATACTTTGATTTGCTCACTGGTAAGGCTTGCCAGCGTTACAATTTTCGTACGCCTTCTTTGGAGTAACGTCCATCGCAGACAATGGTCGTAGGACAACTAATCGACAGTGAAGACAATAGTGTCGGTGTGTGATAAATATCTGATGTAATCACGGATGACGCAATATTTTTCAAGGCCAAATATATTTCATCATACAGCCCGAAAATAGATTCGTATTACTGCACACTATCGCAAATGACCTAATCTGAGGAAAAAATAGAAATCAATTACACCCTGTCACACCAATGGGTCTAAAACTGACCGTGTGGTGAAAGAAAGTAAACTAATGCGGTTGCACAAGAGTGTATTTTCGGCAGAAAAAAAATGACTTCCATTTTTTGCGTTCTTTGTTTAACGCACCTGTTGTTCTATGAATCTTTTTAAGCACCTGTTGTTCTAGGAACCATCTTCCTCTCTCTTTCTCATTATCTCTATCGCTTGCATTCTGACTCTCTCGATTTCTTAGTCATTGCTATGCCATCTCTCTCTATCTATCTCTCTGTCTTAGCATCTTTCAGACTTTATTTTTTTATTTCCTCTCTCTCTCTCTCTCTCTCTCTCTCTCTCTCTCTCTCTGTCTTGCTTTTGTGGAGCTGTCATTCGGATTCTTGCTGTGTTTTCACCTACGATCTTCAAAAGTTTATATGCAACAGGAATGGACATCTTCTATCTTCCCTGAAGTCTGTTCTTTTATAGTCCTTTTTCCTCATTTTTTTCATCTTCTTTCACACTCAGTAACCTATTGTATCTCAATAATAGCATTATCATCTTGCATGGGGAGGGGTAATTTTTTATCTCTCTTTCCTTTTCCCCTCTCTACCCCCCCCACTTTCGGTTCTAGCAGTTTTGACAATTTATCTACCTCTCGTTTACTTTTGAGCACCTGTATCAGTCTCCTCTCTCTCGCTCTCTCTCTCTCTCTCTCTCCTCCTCCTTCTTTCTCTCCATCAGTGCCTATTTATCTATCACTTTATATTCAAATCTCTCTGGCGCTTTCTCTGTCTTTCTCTTCCCTCTTCTCTCTTTTTCTCTCCACAAAGGTCTACCTATCACTTTCTATTCAATTTCTCTCCGGTATTTCTCTCTCGCATTCTCTCATTCTCTCGCTCTCCCCCTCTCTCTTTCTCTTCTAGCAGTTTTGACAATTTATCTACCTCTCGCTTACTCATGTGCATCCGTATCAGTTACTTTTATCTTTCTCTCTTTCTCTTCTCTCTACTCTCTCTTTCTCTCCCTTAATGTCTATCTACCTATCACGTTCTCTTCATTATTTCTCTTCGCTATTTCTCTCTCTCTCTCTCTCTCTCTCTCTCTCTCTCTCTCTCTCTCTCTCTCGTTTGCTGTCTATCATTTCGCTTCCAGCCAATCTGTTTTCAAATCCCCTGCATTTGTCGTCTGGTGTCCTCTGAACCAAAACTGCACGAAATCCTCACTTGCACAATTTCAGTACAATGCATCTCCAACCGCTGTCCAGACAACCCCACATAGTAGACGGTCATTCATTCAGACGGCGCCTGACCTTTGTATGTGTTTTCCTAATATCCAACGATTTCAATTCTGACACAAACTTTTTTTTTTCTTTTAAAAATCAGAAACAAAAATAATCTTGACTTGACCTTGTTCATTGCTTGCTACTTTTTCCATTTCCTATTCATCACTAAAACAAAAAAAAGAATTTTGTTTTGTTTGTAACAAAAATAAATCAAAGTACTGCAGAAATTGAAAATTGCTTTCAAATTTTCGGATTTCCCCGGATTCTTGGGAAAAGGCTTCTAAAATGTTAATTTAGAAAAAAAAAAAAAGATAAGTGACAATCTTCCTTTCAGATTAAAACTAGTGTTTTAAAACATTTTTTATGTTTATACGTTCTTTTTATAGATACAAATATTTAAGTAAATTAACGAAACAACTACATATTATTCTGCTTCCCAAAATTTCGGCCATTGTATGCTCCAGCCTTCTTCAGAATCTGTCTATATTTCTGAGATGAGTTATTGTAACTATTTACATTGTTCGGGCTGTTGTCCTCATCTTTATTGCCATATTCATGATGTTTCAGCCATTGTATGCTCTAGCCTTCTTCAGAATCTGTCTATATTTCTGAGATGAGTTATTGTAACTATTTACATAGTTCGGACTGTTGTCCTCAACTTTATAGCCATATTCATGATGTTTCAGTCATTGTATGCTCCAGCCTTCTTCAGAATCTGTCTATATTTCTGAGATGAGTTATTGTAACTATTTACATTGTTCGGGCTGTTGTCCTCATCTTTATTGCCATATTCATGATGTTTCAGCCATTGTATGCTCTAGCCTTCTTCAGAATCTGTTTATATTTCTGAGATGAAGTATTGCAAGTATTTACACTATCTATATTGTTATTAACAACATTTACCGGCCTGAATTTTCATAGAAACTAATTTTCTAGCTCACTTCAAACCTGAGGAATGTTCTCTTCATTAAGGGTTTTATCATATATTCAGTTGACCCTAGACTTCAAGAGGTCATGATTGTAGTGATCGAGAAAGCATCCCCTCAGGATTCTCTTCCACAAAGCAGCGGCTCTTGGAAAAAAGCTGACCTAACGGAACTTCTTTCTTACTGAAGGGAATGAGGCTGATTAGACCCTGTGTACGTGGCATGGTGGGCGTAGGAATATTCACATTAATTTATATCAAATGCATCAACACGGAAATATGTCGAAACGCATACAAATGTGTAAAATAAATAATTTAGCCTGTGGACATATTAATGTACATACACCCTTGTGCAAATTAATGGAAACTACTGATTTAGTTTCCTTTCTTTCACGATACGGTCAGTTTTAGACCCACTGGAGTGACAGGGTGTAATCGATTTATACTTTTTCCTCAGATTATGTCATTTGCAGTGGTGTGCAGTAATATGAATCTATTTTCGGGGTGTATTTGTTTGGCCTTGAAAAATATTGCGTTATCCGTGATTGCATCAGATTTTCATCACGACCAGACACTATTATCTCGACTGTCGATTAGTTGTCCTACGGCTGCGATGGACGTTACTCCAAGGAAGTGTACGAAAATTGTAACGCTGCTCGAACACTCTGGCAAGTCTAACCATTGAGCAGAACAAAGTAGAAGAGACTGGCCCGAAAGCTCTCCTGATTTAAATCCAATCGAGAATCTGTGGTCAATCTGCAAATAATGACTTTGTGGAATGGCCATACGAAGTACTAACATGTGTACTGGGCCATGTTTCATTGGAGAAATACTAAAAAAAATTTAATAATAACGGAATTATTCATTTTGTTTCAATTAATTTGTACAAGGGTGTACATGTGTACATAGATACAGAGCATTTGGGGTTTTACTCTCAAGTAATGATTAACGAGCTAATCTAGCAAACCATTACTACTCAGTAGTTATTTTAGTCCTCAGTGTGTTCCATATTAGTGGCCTTGTGATAAACTTAGTAAATAACAGAGTTGTTGCTAAAAGGATTTATTATTTGTTCATAAAAGACTCGTTATTTGCTTTTTGTTCGGTTTTAATTTTTTTTTTAATTTTTTTCTATTTGTGTGTTACGGTAAAAACCTGATTACAATAGCTATTTGAATGAACCTCTCCTTTCCCGATCGCCAGTCTGCTGTGCCTTCACGGAAACAAATGCGCAAGCCGAGTTAGACTGGACTGAGCGATACAGCCAACGCGCATGCGTGCGTGACTTTTCTTTGTCGTTGTTTATTTCTTAGAGTTTCCGATGAGTGCACAAGATTTTTTTTTATATATATATATTTACTATTTTCCTGTTCTTTTGGCTTCCTTTCCTTTCTATTTATTTTCTTTTTCTATTATTTTAGGCTTAATGGCCTTGGGTGAGTCGGTTTATACAGTTTAATTACTCAAGATCGTCTGCACTACGTATTCGTCGGATTTTTTTTCTCCTCTGTTCCAATCTCTGATAGAGTTTTAGTCCATTTTGTGCTTACACACACTTGTACACACAGCCGTCGTCTTTTCTACAATACAAGTAGATACGACACACCGTGATAAAAGCGAAAAATAAGAAAAAAATATGGAATAGACCTAAACAAAGATTTATTTAAAACTAGCTTATGAGGAGGGCTCTTGATTTGGCTTTCGGCTTGTTCAGAAGTTTGAGAGTTCCTAAGTCTTTGCATATTCTCAGCATTGGAAGCTCTCCTGGCTGCCGTTTAATATAGGTTCTCATTTGCATGGGATTTTCTTTTATCTCACTGCAGTCTTGGCTCTTTTGATAGCCATCTGGTCCTCTGTTGGCGGAGATTTCTTTTTGCGAGCCATACTGCAGCCGTATGCAACAGGGAACAATAAACTACAGAAGAACTCAAAATTGATCACTGCATTTAAGTATTGCATTAATATTTAAGCTTACCTTTTATCAATGATAATTCTTCTCTCGCCACATAATTTAAAGACAATCTTATGTACGTAGGTACTTACTTTCTGTACAAACAATTATTTTAATTTCATGGGTGAATTTCGCAATTAATTTCGATTATTCCCAAATTTATTTCCAAATTATGAAAAATTTTATCGTATAAAAATAAAAAAAAAAACGTCGTAAAAATTAAAAAAAATAACCGAAAACAATCGCTGTAATGAAAACTTGGGAATCCAAAATTTCAGGGTTGGGGGTCTAGATCCGACCCGGAATATTTTTAATTTGCTTACGTAGTCGGCCTGAATCCAAAATGGTATGATATGTTGGGCTACAGCCTCTGGGAGTAAAGTTGAAAAAATGTGACACACTGACATTCGCATTTATTTATAGAGAAGAAAAAAAAGCAACTAAGAGAGAGAGAGAAATAAGATGAAAAGACGAAATAAGATAGAGTGAGAGAGATATATGATATATATATATATAGAAGGACACGGATGGTATATATATATATATAGCTTATATATATATATATATATAATATATATATATATATATATATATATATATATAATATTCACTCAGGGAAAATTCTCAGAGTGCCGCCATTGAATATTGCCAAAATATTAATCTACGCCCAGACTTTTCCCTATTTCACCTTTCTTAACAGAATTACTTCTCTCCCAAACATACGTAGACAACAGTATCAAGAAACCAAAAGAAAATGGTCGAATCGTCAACACAGCAATAATAACAATATCTCCACACGTGACAGTAATTAACGTAATTTTCAGTTAACAGTATGAAAATAGTGTTCTCTAAATTCTTCCAGTTGCTAAGGATATTTTGTTTTTGTTATTATTAGTTACTTTGTTTAAATAAATTCATTTCGTTTTTGCCTTGAAAAAGTCCACATTGAACGAAACGCGTCAGCTACCATTGCAGTTTTCCTGTTGTCTTTTACATTTGTAAATATTGTATTTTCTACAGGTTAACTCTGAGAAATTTTTCATATATATATATATATATATATATATATATATATATATATATACAGGTTAACTCTGAAAATTTTTCATATATATATATATATATATATATATATATATATATATATATACTAGCTTAAAAGTCTCTCTACGGGCGGTATTTAAACTAGATCCTGTGGAGGCCTCTTTATTGGGCTTTCATCACAGCAGGTAGGGAGAAGCATATGCGATAGGCAACAATGAACTACAGAAAAACTCAAAATTGATCGCTGTATTTAAGTATCGCATTAATATTTAAGTTTATCTTTTAAAAGTTCAATGATAATTCTTCTGCCGCCACTTAATTTAAAGACAATTTGATGTACGTAGGTCCTTACTTTCCGTACAAACAATTATTTTTAGTCCATGAACGACTTTCGCTGGATTTCGCAATTAATTTTAATTATTCCCGGATTTATTTTCAAGTTATAAAAATTATTATCGTACAAAAAAATGAATTGCAAAAAAATCACGTAAAAAATCGCCGAAAACAATCGCAGTAATTTAAACTTGAGAATCCAAAATTTTAGGATTACGGGTCTGGATCCGGCCCGGAAATGTTTTTAATTTGCTCACGGATTCGTCCTGATTCCAAAATGGTATGATATGTTGGGATTCGACATGTAGGAGTAAAGTTGAAAATGGGTGACACACTGACATTCGCATTTATTTATAGACAAAAAAGAGCGACTGAGAGAGAGAGAGAGAGAGAGAGAGATGGAAAGACGAAATAAAAGAGAGGGTGAGAGAGAATGATCGCATATATAAAAAGGGACACTGATGGTGGTTTGAATAGAATAAGATGATAATGTTAATGGTAATATTAACTGTTTCCTTATAAGGAAACATTTAGCATTCATTTGGCCGAAAAGCCCAGTACTACAGTCAGTTGAAAATGATAAAATTTTTCTATTGAAACATTATTTCTAGAAAATGTTTCTCAAGTCCAGTAACTGTTATCGCTCTTTCCGTTATCAACAGTGGTTTCCTTCCTAACCTTTTCTGTAATGTCAGCATCTTGATTATATCATTGTATTCTATTTTAGTCACATGTTGTGGCACCTTGCATTATTAGAAATATTCATTGAAATATGATTTAATTTTTTTTTTACTCGGTTTACTAAACAGGTTGTGGATTTTTTTTAAACGGAAAATAATTGAGTTGAAAATAATTCACTGTTCTTTTGACGATCCTAAAAGAAAAAGAAAAGCCAGTCCAAGAAAGAAAGGTTGGATGATGCATGACCCAGTCATTGGAACAGAGTCAGAAAGATATCTTGGCCTGCGTGTGGCCGAATTTTAAAGGACAATAGAGAATTGTTAAAATTTTTAGAGAGAAAAAAACCAGGTTGATGACAGTGTTTGGCAATTGATAAGAAAATCGGTCAAAGTCCTACTTTTTGATGAAAGACCTGGATATCAAATTTAGAAATAAATTCTTTTAGAACAATAGAAACGAAATTTTTTTTCCAGGAGAAAAAAAGTGTCTTTTGGGTTGAGGGGAAATGACCGGTGGAACTATATACAGATTCTGACCTTATTAAGAAACAGGAAACCCATGATAACAAAATGGACATTTTCAATGTAGATAATTAAGATTTTCTGACTGTCGGGTCTGACAAAAGACAGGAGGTGAGGGAACGATTGTCTCAGTTCACAGAAAAGCGCCAAATTCTTCCTGAAGTCACATCTAATTAGCGGCGGGCTGTTTGACAGAGCCCAGGTGAAAAAAAGCCAAGATTGTCATTTTTTCGTACGTGCAAAAAAAGGCAAAATTAGATTTTTGTTTTTTTAAAACAATAACGATTAAACCACGCCCAACCACAATCTCATTAGCCAACATATGCGGAAAAAACATGCTCGATCAAGAACCATTGGTCAACCAACGGTCTTGATTCGAAAAAGAGAAAGAAGTGCGATCAGGAATCATTGGTCGAGAGCGGTCACCCTTTACGAGGGACCGGGAAAGATGGGTTGTTCCCCACCAAAGGGCACTGTGAGGAAGTATAAAACAATAGCGATAATGAGAAGACATAATGCGACTTTTGGAATTATCGAGAAAACCCTGACGCCGACAGACCCACCCCAGTTTGTTGCGGCGTCAATAAAAGCAGGACCCCAGTTTTTATTGCAGCTGGACCGCGGGCAGGGATAGAGCCTGAACGCGGGCATTTCTTGCCCCTTTGCGGGCAATGGATTCAGACAATTAATCCTTCCACCCAATTTAAGAATTCTTTGCAATTGCTCGAAGGACGCCAAGAGTTCAGAGTTGGCAGAGTTAGTCACCTCGGACGACAGAGAGTTGCATTTAATTTTGGCAAGAAATGCCTTTGGTCGAAAAAGAAACTAAACCTGTTTTCGAAAGCCTTTTCAGCCAAGTCGAAGACAAGAGAAGTTGCAGCCAATAGACAAATGAGACTATCTTAGTCGACGAACCAGAAGAAATACAACTCAAGTCGAAGAGAAGAATCAACTGCGAATGATCGATAGAAATTAGCCCCAGTGTCGAACTAGACCTATCTCCGACATACCTGAAGATTCGAAATCTTTAAGTTGTGAGAGGCTTTCCACAGAGCGGGTCGGGAAATAATTTTTCTTTATGTAACGGACATTAGATATAAAAGGTTGTCCCCTTTTTATCAGTAATTTTTTGTCTCGTGAGTTTTTTTTTCTTTTACTTGTGTTTTGCCACCCCGTCGGACTCAAATCTCCCTGCTGGTCCCGTCTGTCTAAGATCTAAACACAGCTAGTGACAGACCGGAATCATTTGCTTCAGTAACCAGGTCAAGAAACGATGGTTTGGTGATCATCCAACCAGGGATATGGGAGGAGCGACCAGGAGGAGCGACGTCAACCTAACCAAATGGGCGACCCTGGGCCGAGGTGTGTAACCGTCAAATGTGCTCTCTATTTTAAGTTGCTGTGCTGTGTCCTTGATATGGCCATTGATATCAAATTTACTATTATAAATTGTCCACGAGGTTCGAAGAACGACGGTCCTGACCAAGACCTACATCCAACAAGATGCCTTTGTCCTGGATATCAAATTTAAAGAAAAAATGACTACAAAATCAATGTTATATTATTTAACAAGTTTTCTTATTTTACTGCAGGTATAACAAGATAACAACTAATACAATTAACAAAAAATGCAAAATCTTTACTACAAATAAAATCCAGTTAAAAATGGCAAATTATTTAATGAGGCACTTCTTGCTACTTTTAGTTCGATAACTTCTCCATATCCGGTGAAATATTTGTTGATAACAGGAGCAAAACATCATCCAGGTTGTCATCAGCCAACCTTGTTCGAAAAACGATTTTAGTATATTTCTTTTTCGAAAATGTTGTTCACATGCATATATAATTCCAAATAATGATACCATTCCATAGGCTTTTATATAAGCTTTTTATATAGGTTTTTTTATTTGCAAAACATATTTCTTGTAAAAGTCAGCAGTGGATTCGCAATTACATTTTAATTTAAAAATTCTTTGCAATTGGCAAGCAGTGTTCAGATTTGGAGTTAGTCAGTTGCATTTAATTTTGCACAAATGCCTTTGGGAAAGAAATAAACCTGTTTTACCTTTTCCTCCAATCCAATTACAGATTAGATAGCAAATGAGACTTGGATGGCAACCAGCCTAAGAGAAGGAAAACAATGAATACTAAATCGTGGAAATAGCAATGGGGAAACGATTTAGCTATCTCCCCACCACCCGATTCATAGTGATTTTCTAAGTATAATTTAGATGCAATACAAGGCCGAAAGTACGGGGCACCCATTGTGGATCAAACTCGCTATTCAGTTTCAATTGATCTAGTAAGACAAATTTGCTAGCCTCAAGTAACGATGGTTTACGTCCTAAAGGGATATGGTGTTGATCAGGAGTTGGCAACCTTTTGGAGTGAGAGGGCCAGAAAGCTATGCAGTGTCTTGGGGGAGGGCCATGATATATAAAAGTCAACAGTAGATTTGCAATTGCCTTTTGAGTTTAAAAATTCGTCGCATTGTAAGTTGATCAACTCCAACTGATATGCTTCTGCCACTTGCTCCACAAATTAATTAAATAATTTGTGTCCAGGTGTTAAAGATGGCGGGCCAGAAAAAATCCTTCAGGGGCCGGATGTGACCTAAGGGCCGGGGATTACCGACCCCTGACCTAAAGATTTCATTCACTCGAAGCAATTTAAAAATATTAATCTGAGGAAATGGTTGACAGTTTAGATATTTCTGAACGATTTGGGCGCTGTGCATGACATTAATTTTAAAGTCTCGATATGACAAGGTTATTTATATATATATATATATATATATATATATATATATATATATATATATATATATATATATATATATACACGAGGTCTGTCTGAAAAGTAACAGGACTAGTGTCACGAACAATTTATTTCAATTCCAAACAACAAACTACAGGGTTTCCTTCAAATTACTCACCTCACGAGTCTGATTCACTTTTCCATCTTTCTCTGACAAGCTTCTACGCACTGCTGGAAGGTTTCTCCTTGGATGACCCTCAACTCTGTCGTTACGGCCCCCTTGATGGCCTCCACGACTTTCAAACTGTTCGCCTTGAGGATCCTCTTGAGCTTGGGAAAATTTCACACAGGATCAAATGAATAGGAAGTTGTTCCAAAAATTCTTCTCAAGAACTGCCGGATGCTCAGGGCGTTTCTCAAAGAGGTCCATTATTGTGAATAGACAGGATTTGTCCGGACAATTGTTCAAGCTAAGATTATATATAAGATATCATGTTAGATGATAACACAATCCGCTTATGTATATAAAATGTATATAAACGGAACTTCTTTTGGCATTAAGCTATATTTCAAGAGGTAAAGGATTTCATATTTTAAAATGTGTCACAACTGAACCGGGTTTTTATAAAATGCAAATAACAACAGGCTTCGAAAGTTGTTAATTCATGTTCAAAGAACAGAAAGAAAATTTTCTCACTGATCAAACTACCAACTGACACACACATACACGTATATATATATATATATATATATATATATATATATATATATATATATATATATATATATATATATATATAAAAAACTAAACATTAATATTCCATGATCATAATTTATTCCATTGGAATCGTAAATACGATCAATTCATCAGACCTACAAATTCAATTTTTTTTTTTTTTTTTTTTTTGAATTGTAGGTCTGATGAATTGATCATTTTGATTCCAATGGAATAAATTTTCCATGGAATATTAGTGTTTAAACTTTTATTATATCCTTACTCTGTCCTGGACATTGAGTTCTACCTGGATTCTATCCTCTTAGAATTATTTTTTTATACAAATATATATGTATGTGTATTTATGTATGTATATATATTTATATATTTTAGATATGATTGCATATGTATACCATTAATATATATATATATATATATATATATATATATATATATATATATATATATATATATATATCCAGGCAAGATAAAACGAATAGAAATCAATTCCAACTTACGTAACATTAAATTTAAAA